AAACGCGAAATTGTTAAAGCATTTGTTTTCTCAAGTTGCTGGCATGAAATAAGATGAGATTTTGGTAAGGTATCTTCTTTAAGAATACCAATCAATAAATGAGCAATATACTTTCCTGAGGAATCAGTGGTTTCGTCTACAGATATGTAAAAATAATTATCTGCAATTTCTTCCTTAATATTAATTAACACCGACGAGTATAGCCCGTTCACATTATTTCTTCTTAGAGACCGATCACTTGGAACATTAAGTTTGCAATATTTTTTTAGAAACGAACTAAAATTTACATTTGCTAATTTTGAAAGCGGTATGTTTGCAGACACTAATGCGCGACACAAGTCTTCACAATTAAGTTTCTTGCTCATCTAATTTTTTTGAAGTAGATTGGAAACATTTAGCCATTGAAGTTTGATGTTTTCCTCCTATTTTTCCTTTTTTTGCAATGTGTGAAGCAGTTCTCACATGTTGGTCTATCTGAAATTTCTTCTCACATGCTATCTATAAATAAAAATAAAAACCTTTATTTTAACCCAACCTTTAAAATATAAAAATATACAAGGTGTTTTTGGTTAATCAAATAACTGGTTTGGAAAAAAAAACACTCGCTATATTTTTAATAAATTTTTTAATATATGGTATACAGCCAACTACAGGAACGTAGATTCCTTGTGAAAAAAAAAAACAAATATACCAACAAACATACATTTGGGAAATGTACCGATAGAAAGGTTTGATAAATACAAATACCTAGGAAACCTGGATTTTAGACAATAATGATCCAACAACCGAAATAAGAGCTGGGATAGAAATAACAAAAAATGCCTTTGTAAAAATGAAAACCATTCTCTGCAACAAAGATCTTAAATTAGAACTGAGAGTAAGAGCACTCAGATGCTACGTATTTTCGATACTGCAATATGGACTTGAAAGCTGAACATTGAAGCAAGAACACATAAATAGGTTACAGTCCTGCTAAGGCTAATAATACAGGGAAAGATAAGAGGAGGAAGAAGTATAGGAAGAAAAAGAGTGTCATGGTTGATGAATTTAGGGGCTGGTTTAAATGCAGTTTTATAGAACTCTTCAGAGCAGCAGTAGATGGAGTAAAGATAGTTATGATGATATCCAACCTCTGATTGGTAGACGGCACTTAAAGAACAAAAGAAGAAGATTTTATACTATACCATAACATAGGAACAAAGAACAAGCTTAAAAATAACAATATACAAAAAAAAAACAAAAACCGACCAACATAATTACAGAGCAATAACGCCTAATAGCCATTCGGGGTCGGAAGAAACAAAGTTAAGCAAGAGAGGCTGATAGGAAAGATTAAAACATGTCATTCAAGACAAGTGGAAAAAGAGTAAAGTGTAAAGGCTCTTATGATATGCCAGGTGCGGTCATAAGTGTATGAGTATTTATATACTTAGTATTCCCGACTACAGACTGTATGGCCCTCTAGCATGTCATTGCATATACGATAGTGTACACGTTATTTTTACAGTCTCCATCGCCTGAATATTGGCTACAAAATGAAAAACCGAGCTTTGCCTACAAAATGGAAATCCAAGTTTTAAGTATTCTTTACTAGACGGATGATGCAGTAACCATGGCCAAAAATGAAGATGATCTAGAGCGTCTACTTTACAAATTCAACAAAAAACACACAATGTTTATTGCCAAGAGCCTCATCAGACATAAACTAATGGTTTACAAACACATGTACGGATATATAAAGCATGTGTAAGGCCAGTACTAATATACAGAGTGGAAACAAGAGATGGAATGTCGCTTACAAAAATATTGATGAGAACTACAAAAATGAAAGTGTTAAGAACCCTAATTTCTCTTTCAGATAGGATAAGGAATGAGGATACATTAAGAGAAACTGGAGTTCATCATATGGTCTAGGGAAGATTAGCATGACAGTGCAAACAGACAATCATGTTGACAGAATGAACCCAGATGGGCAACAATAAATAAACCCAATACAAAAACACAGTAGGAAGACCCTCTAAAAAGGTGTGGTGACAGGTGGACATAAACATCATACGAGCCGGAATGATAGAATAAATAGGATCATATTCTAAAAAACAAAGAAAAAAATTGTGTTTTACATTAAATGGACAGGCTACATTGGTTTACCAATAGCCAATAAATTTTTTATACTTCATATTAAGCTTCTCGTTTTTATTTTCAACATGTTCCTTTCAGAATAGCCAAGCGTCTTATGTAATAGGTACCCAAATATTTTGCATATTTTATAAATGTAGTAGATTTATTGGAATATTATTACAGGGAAAAATACTACATACTAAAAAATACAATGTTTGAAATCAGTATTTTCCTCTAGTAATTTGCCAAATATTCCTAATATGCTGGATAATCTTAAGCATTATATAGAAAGATAAACCACTACACTGTTTTCCTCATTTATTCATCATATCACAATTATCTAACAATTAAAAATCGATCATAAAATGTGTATTTTTTATTGTACTGTTTATCAGTGGTCATAATCTTCTCTAATGTATAGATCATTAGCTAAAAGTAACGATTATGTGTAAAATATACAGGGTACCCTCAATATTTCGTCACAAAACAATACACATTTGTATTTGTAGAACACCGTATAATACGGATCTCAACAACATGGTACCATGAGCAACCTGTCATTTATGTCCAACAGTTTGAGTTCTGACAGTTCTAAAAGAGTGGTAATTACCATTAATGAGGTGGAGATCAGTTGAACAAAAACTAAAGGTCAAATAGTCTGGTCATTTAGCAGTTTTTTATAACAAAGAAAATAGAAGTAGCTTCGATGATATAAAATTGGAAATTAGACACATTTTGTACCAAAAGTGCCTAAATTTAGGACACTGTTGCCTGTTACTCTTTTTCTAAGAATTCTACTAGAATAAATTATCTCTCCTGATGCCAGTCATAATGTAGCTTCTCCTTTTTTAAAAATTTTAAACTGTTTGTCCTTGTGTAGTGTAATGTAATGTAAAGTTTTATGTTTATAACATTTTATTTTTGTTGGATCGGCCATAATTGACGAAACGCCCCTGAAAATGCCCTAGGGAGCGAAAGTACTTGGACAAGATTAAATTAATAAAACTGTGCTCGATATCGGCCTTTTCATTTGATCAAATATATTTTTTTGTTTTTCTAATTACAAAAAAGATGGATTGTTATAAAGGAATTGAAGAATTTTTATCCGAAATACGAAATATACGAAAGCGATATATTCATGATTAAATTATATCTAAAATACAATGGAATTTTACAATATTTCATCAGCGCATTAACCTAACAACAAATATTGTATGCCACTTTATAGGAATATACCCACTTTTCAAATGTACAGGTATAGACTTATGTTCATTATTCAGGCTCTAGCTAAATGAATTGTAGTTAAAAAAATAAAACCCTACATAAAAATTAGCATGTTATTTTAGTAAGTCTTGATTTTAACAATAACTATTCTAACCTGTTGCCTGTTTTATTTTTGCTACCATAACTGTTATTTTCATTCCAGGATTATCAATTTTTATTTGTTTGTACATGTTTATAATGCATTGTTTTTCATTTGATAAAAAATAATCCAAATCTACTCGGCGTTTTTTAGGTGGAGAACGATAATTACCATTAGTACTTGGCATTGAATCCATATTGTTAATCCATCTTAATAACACTAATACGTCGCTAAATAGTTCTGCAAAGAACTGTTTTTTAGATAAATGCAAACGCAAAATCTAAAAATTAAAGGAATAACTGAAAAAATACAAAAAATGGTCGATATAAATTTTGAATTTTAAAATTTTATAAATGTCATCAGTGTCAAAATGTCATAATTTAGTGGAGTAAACTTGCCTGCGGTTGTACCAATTACAAACAAGCAGTACGAGGCAGTAAGTTTAAATTACTCCTAGTGGTTAAAAAAAAACCATAGTATTGTTGTTGAAAATAAACTAATTATTTATGAACTTCGTCTGCAGGTGGATGTTTTCCTAAGTTGTCTCGTTCTACAACGTATTTAAATTCTTCAATGCTCTTCCATTTTAATTCATAACGTTTTTCTATAAATTTTTATCATCAACTACGTTTTTTTGTTTTACTTGTAAAGTAAATCTTTGCCATTTAAAGTACATGGTCTTAGAGCAAAGATATTTATTTATAAAGAGCAGTTTCAACATTCTATTTCCTGATGTATTGCTACAAAGTATTTAATATTGATTGATTTTTACTTGCTTTATGTCCACTTGCAGTTTTTTCATCATTTGCGATGTACAGTCCCGTTTCATCAGCGTTAAATACTTGATCAGCCTAATAGTCCCAATATTCAATAATTTTTAGCTAGCTCTTTGGAAATATTTTTACTGCTGCTTTATCTGCTGTAACACTATCTCCTGTGATCTTGATATTATGAAATGCAATCTTTTTATAAACCCCATTAGCCATCCTTTGCTAGCTGATAATTTTTTTCCCACTTGGGAAGTGGAAAATGGTGGCTCTGGCTGTTTCATTAACTCATAAAACTGAAGAGCTTTTTTCTAGATTAAATAACCACTTTTAGGAATTCTTCTTTGAATTAGTTCCTCAATTAAAATTGCGAGGGCTGTTTCTATTCTTTGAGAAAAAAAGATACATCATCTTGCATTCTATTGCAACTTACAAAATACATCTATAACCAAATAATGAATAAAAGAAAAAGAGGTAGGTCCATACCAAGAATATTCTAGGTTGACATATATGCAACGGATCATAATTTTAAGTATTAGAACATAATTCTAAGTGCTCCCATATGAAGCGTCAAGACTTTTCGTTGTTTATTTATGACTTAATAAAGTCTTAAAATCTGTAAATATAACCTACAAACAAACATTCTATATCTCGTATAAAAAGAAAAAATTGAGAAAGTTTATCACCGTAATGTTGTTTGTATTTATTAATGGTATTACCAGCAATTGTTTATTTCTAAATTTTTATTCAAGGTTCTTACTCCAACCCTTCTGGTACAGAGCTAATGGCTGTGATAGCTGTGCCAAAAAAGGACATTCAGATGCATGCTCAAAAGAAAAACAGTAACGACAACTTCGCAGTAAGGATACTTCCTACATCTGCTACTTCACATAATGAGATTATACCGCAAATGAACTCCATAGCGTCACCAACAAACCAGATGTTTCTACACAACGATACCTTTTTCGATGAGAATGACGATATGGAAATTCAACAACCAGTGCAGCTACCGGTAAAGCCAAAACCGTCTCCAACAACTCCAAGATATTCAAATAAGTATGCCAATAGCGTCGGGAAGGTTATGAATGCGCCGAAGGAATATTATCCTGTAGGATATGATAAGAATTTTGATGACAACTTTGCCTCCAGGGTAGAGCTACCAGAAACTTCGTTTTACTGTGGAGACCAAAAACATTTTCCAGGACTCTACGCTGATGAAGACCTGGGATGCATGGTAAGTTTTTATCGAAACGTTATCCTCTATGGAAATGCATGCAGATCTAGTCGATTAATCTGGAAATCTTTAAATTATTCATATAACAAATGTAATATTAATTTAAAATCTACATGTACGTTTTAGAGTAGAAACTTAAACATCTTAACTTTTAAGAACATATAATGTAACAACAATTTAAATTAATAACATTTAACTGGTTTTTACCCATATATTTTAGTGGCTCAGAGCATGTATACTTAGTTACACTGATGATGAAATTTACATTCCGAAAACGTTCTGTAATTGTGATATAGCCCGTTTGGGTATTTTATTATATACCTTTTATAAAGGATTTCAAATAAAAAAATGTGATACATGGTATATAGCCAGCTACGGGAAATTAGTTTCCTAGTGGATTATAACAAATCTATATTATAAACAAGCACATATACGCATTATTGAACACATATCGTCGTCTCAAAGAAACAGTAGGATATGTAAAATAATGTACCGTAAACTCGGGCTACTTTGGCCCATTTATTAAAACCTTTTAAATCAACTCTCAATAAATCTTAGCATTTTTCTACTACTAAGCTGTGTTCACCTGTTTTACATAATTAAAATATCTTAAATAACATGCATAAAGCATTTTAGTGTTTTTTAAAAAAATAAATAACTTTTTTAAATTGTTTACCTGGGCCAATGTTATCCTTATGTTAGGGTTACTTTGGCCCAATATGATATTACCTACTTTCAAGCATAATAAAAATAGTTAGGTCCAAAGAAAGACATGGGTTTATTTATTCAGTATATTTATATGACAGAAAAATATATTTCAAATTATGTTTTTTTAAACAGTTACAAAAATAAAGCTTTAGCAAACAATTAATATTTTTTACAAATTACTGACGGAAAATAGTCCTCTTTTTAACGGTTTTGGAGGTTGGATTTTTTTCTTAATAGCGCTCCATTTGTAAAACAAAGAGTCCTTTTCTTTTGGCCACTTCCAACACTTGTTGGTACGTTCCATGCATTCAACAACAGCACCTTCTTCTGACACATTAACAGCTATCCCAGGGAACTGTAGCTTATTCCATTCAACAACAACGAAGTTTCCTGTTTGCAGATTTGACTTTAATTCTTCTTCTTCGTTTTGTTCCGGGGGTTTTATGTCACCGAAAGAAGATGCAACTGGATCGACATTTGGGTGATTTTCCTGGAGAACACTGACTGTGTTAATTTCCTCTTCTTCGTCCGTTGAAAGAATCATGTCACTATGACCGGATGAAACGACGCTGTAATGGTCACTATCTTCTTCAGAATTCGAAAGTTCCATGTCTTTTTTATTTATTTTTTTCTTTTGTTTCTTAACTTCTTGTTTCTTTTCTAAAACCGCCTGTCGCTTTTTTTCTAGTTTTTCCCTTTCTCTTTCTTCTTTTTTCTTCTGGTTTTCCATCTTCTTTTCTTTTTTCTTTTGACCTTTTTGATTCATTTGATGTTCTTGATACTGAATAATATCGTTAGCTGTTATGCTTTTACCAGCAGGAACGTCTATTTTTTTTCGTTTTATTAATCGAGGTTTAACAACTTCTTGCCTTTTCTCTTCCAAATGGCGGATAAATGTTTGTCCTACCAATTCCAAATTAACTGTCACATTGTTATAAGGCAAGCGCTTCAATACTTCTTCTTTGTCTAAGGGATGTATGCCGGCCTTTTTAAAACCAGACTTTAAGTTTTCTTTTTGATGAAGCTCTAAGTCATCCAAAGATTTTTTCAACAATCTTGGAAAAATATCTTTTGGTAATGTAGCAACAGTTTTGCCACTATCAGACTGTTTCCATTCGGTAAGAATCTGTCGCCACTTACTTTTGAGAGGCCTAAAATAGGCCACATCAAGTGGTTGTGTTAGGTGTGAGGAGTTTGGAGGCAAGCATACGAATTGGATATTGTTCTCTTCACAAAGCCTCACCACGTTTAAGCTTACATGTGAGCTAAGATTATCACCGATAACTACTTTTTTACCTTCTTGTTTTCTTAAGATTGGAAGAAGATGTGTAGCAAACCAATCTTCAAATGTTGCTCCATCGATCCAACCTTGTTTTGTCCTGTTATAATGCGCTCCTTCGGGGCCACCTTCCAACCATGTGGTCCACATATTATAATATGGTTCAGCCTTATAAATAATATAAGGTGGCACAGAGGTACCATTGGCATTACCACAAAACATAACGCTAATGTTGGACTTAGTCGAATTCATGATACGCTCTGGGTACTTTGAACCCCTACGACAGATTACTTTCTTCCTGCCTGGATCGTCAGACATACATGTTTCGTCATAGTTATAAATGTTCTGAGGCGGTACATTCTCAACTACTTCTTTTAAGTGATCGAAGTAGTCTGAGATTATTTTTCTATCAATCTGAGCACGATTTCTTTTTATATTTGATGCAAACCTGACTGTCAGCTGAGGATGTCTTTTTAAGAAAGATTTGGTCCAGTCTCGGCCAGGCAAATTATTGCAAAAACACTGTATTGTCTTTCCTTGTCTTGTGACATAACTTTTTACAATATATCTCAAATCCAGTTCATCAATTGAAAATCCGAATTCACACATTTTGTCGATGTGACTAGCAAATGCTAACTCTTCTTCCTGGGTAAAAACTTTGGGATGACCCGGTGAGCTCGAAAAAAGATTTTTTAGTTTGTTTTTAATAGTGCTTCGTGGTATTTTAAAAATATCTGCGGCTTGCCTTTGTGTCATTTCACCAGATCTGATTGCTTCTAAACAGGTTTGGAGATGATCTTGACTGTAGTCGACATAACTTCGGCTTCCTAGTTGGCGTTTGTAGTTATAGGGCATCTTCCGTATCTAAAAATAAATTTATTTAATACAAGAACACCCAGAAAGTTGATTTATGACAGTAGGTAGGTAATAATTAAAAATAAATAAATAAAATAAACCTCAGACCTACTTTGGCCCAAATATACGTTGGGCCAAAGAAGGTCATATTTTTGAGGTTATCTGAACTGGTTTTATTATTGAATTTTAAAATAAAAAAAGCTGAAAATAATGCAAATTATAGCCATTCCACTGTATTACGTATTAAATTCTGATGTTAAAAAAGTACTTACCAATATTATAACAGGCGTAAAACGGTTTTTGCAGGTAAAAGTTTGAGACTTTAAAAAATCACTTGTTGCACATACAACATCAAAAGCACTCATGCTGGTTCTAGGAGGCGAAACGTGAAACATTTGAAGGTCGTTATGAGTTGCGCAGGTCTGCACTTCATCGGAAACTACCGACATCGGCTTAAAATCTACTCTCTCGAGATACTTTAAAAACGTTTTATTTTATTTTTAATTTGGGCCAAAGTAGGACTCCAGGGCCAAAGTAACCCTTATTTACGATAGTTTCGAGAAAAACGCATTTGAAAATTTTACGAAACTTCAGTAATTAATAACTTTTTTATATTTGAATGGATTTACGTGGAATTTTGTTTGAGTACCTAACTTTACATGTGTCAAATAACAATTTTTATTAATTAATAAAAAAGTGAAAAATAATTGGAAAAAAAGTTAGTTGTCCTACTGTTGCCCTCAAAAATAATCTGTTTTTTTAACGATATCCTTAAATTTCTGTTATACATAATCGCAACTCAACAATAAGTACATAGCAACAGTAGGATATATGCGTAAGATAACTTAGTGTTACATTAATATTGATGACAAAAATGGGCAAACGACATATGGTATGATATGTATGTTGTCTTCGTGTTGCATTATAAAATTTGAGCTAAAAGGAATTAAGCTACACAAGGATATGTAATATTATGAAAAAAGTATATCACTTTTTATTTATCCCAGTGTTACACTCAACAGAAGGGTTTATTTAGAATCATTTGACATGAATATCAGAATTTAGGACAGCCTTTATAGTCAGTAATAAAGTCAAGCACTTGGTTATAGATTTTAAGCCAATAAATCGACGAATGAGCTGCTTAAGGATCAGGGGTAAGTTTTTTAATATTAGTCTTATTAAAGTACATGCCCCAACAGAGGACAAGGAAGACAAAGAAAAGGACAATTTCTATGAGGAATTAGAAAGAACATATGACAGTTGTCCCAGAAATGACATTAAAATAGTAATTGGTGATCTGAACGCAAAAATCAGAAGGGGAGAAATATATCTACCGCACATCGGTAGATATAGTCTCCATAATTCGAATGGACACCGAGCAGTCACCTTCGCAGCCGCAAAGAACATGATCATAGGAGGCACATGTTTTCTACGCAAAAAAATACATATATGGACTTGAACCTCACCTAATCGACTAACGAACAACCAAATTGATCATGTGATCATAGATGCTAGACACTTCTCAAACCTAATGGATGTCCGCACCTATTGAGGCGCCAATATTGATTCAGATCACTTTTTAAGTGGTCACACGAATTCGAGCTAGAATCTCAAATGGGAAGAAGGAGAGAAGCACCAAAACAACGCGTCTCAATATTGAACTCCTTAAAAATCCGCAAACAGTAAGAATCCGAGAAAAACAGCAAAAATATAAAGATCTCAGAAAAAAAGAGAAGTGTATTCATAGAAGGAAAAAGCGAACTCACGAAAATAGAATATTGGAAGAACTTGAGGTATTAAAAAAGGAAAACCAAACAAGAAAATTCTACAAAACTCTGAATAACGCAAGAAAGAAATTCAAACCAAGGCTCAGACTATGTAAGGATAAGGAGGGGCATATACTAAATATAAAAGAAGAAGTACTGAAAAAGTGGGTGGAACACTTTAAAGAACTATTTACTATAGAAGTAGAAGATCCAGATCCAAATCAACCACTCGCAGGAGCAAGCAACAATTCACCATTAGAGCCTCCGTCAATTCAAGAAGTACGAGATGCAATAAAACACCTAAAAAACAATAAATCTCCAGGAAGTGATGGTATACCCGCGGAACTTATTAAATATGGAGGTGCTACGGTGACTAATCAAATATATAAAAT